GATATCATGACATGGAGAGGAATGACTCGTGGGAACACAGGATGGATTAGACAGCTGTCTGCTTCTCTGGTGCATGACGGTGAGGTGCTGTGTATAAAGTCCTCCTGCTCCTTCGATGGTTCCTGACTCTTCCTGTAACTTGAGAGACAGCTCCTCGTGGGCACAGACAAGCCTGCTACTTCCTTTTATCCCAGAGCTGGAGAACACAGCAGGCTTCAGAAGACAATGAAGACGGCTTAGGCTTCCCAGACAGGGCACCCTAGCAAGTAGCCAGTAAGTGGTTGCAAACCATTTTGCAACCATTAAGCGCCCTTTTGATGTGACATAGGAATAAGAAAAAAAAAATTCCCCGCTCTTGAAGGACCCAGTGATTCATTTCTTTTTACACTTCTTTGCCCATTGAAGCCCTTTCCCTGTGCCCGGTTGGCAACAATAAAGGGATAGTCAGCATCAACCAGATCAAGGGACAGAATAATTGGAGGACTGATTGAAGCTTTGTTCCTCACAGCTCCTCCTGCTTAATTAGGATGACGACGATGATGATGTCTTCTGAGTATGTGCTCTATTCAAGGGAGCTCCCTAAGAACTATATAAGGTAGATGATACACTCCTCATTTCCTTTTACATATGGGGAAACTGAGGCTGAGAGACGTTAAATATTTTTTTTTTAATTTTTTATTGTTAGTTTCAGGTGTGCAGAACAATGCAATAGTTATCCTTTTCACCCTCACAAAGTAACAACCCTCCTCTCCCCCTAAATATTTTTTTCCAAGATCACACAGGCAGTGGTGAAGCCCATTCTCTTATCCTCAAAATATGTTTATCAGCTTTTATTGTTGTTGTTGTTGTCATTGTTATTAAATTTTATGGAATAATCATTTACGCCAGACCTGGGCTGGGCACTTCTAAATCGGGATCCCATTTAAAACTTCACAACAGCTCTGTGCCTGACATCACTCATGCAGCCCAATGCTCTGCAGCATTTTATTCTGAATCGGTACAACAGCCTGTTTATTGTAAAATCCACTGGTAAGGAAATAAAAAACACAGTAAAAAGGCAACCTCGGTCCGCATCACCTGTTTATTTTTTCACCCGTCCCTTCCTGTACTTATCTGTTTGTGTTTAGATTTTGATTACAGGTGTGTATTCGTTTTTAAGTATAGGCGCAATCCATGCAATGTTTTTATCCTTTCTTTATCACTTGACATTATTTGGGGACACTTTTCTAAATCTTCATAATGATAATGTGCTCTGGCTGCACTAACCACCTTGTTGATGTGCCATTACTTTTTTAAAGACCTCTATTTTTGGTCGTTTAGTTTGCAACTACTTATCTGTATCTAATTATTTAAAGGATTTCTTTATTTTTCATTTTTTATTATTAGTTTCAGGTGTACAAAACAATGCAATAGTTATGCTTTTCACCCCTCACAAAGTGACAACCCCCCTCCCCAATCCACTGCCCCCCCACCCCCGATATCATACCTATCTATTATAATTCCATTGAGTCCACTCCCCACACTGTACTACACATCACACCTAACCACTGCACTGTACATATGAAGCTGCCGTTGAATAAAGGATTTCTTTTGAGTTGACTTTTTGGAATAATTGTCAGGAGAGGGCTTATTGGGTCAAAGGGTAGTCGTCATGTATTTGTTGAGCACTTATTGTGTCCCAGGAGCTGGAGACCCAACTGCAAATAGGACAGACATGATCCCTGCCCTCCTCAATCTTAACATTCCCCCCTCTCCCCGGGGGACACAGAGACCAAAGTGATAAATAAATAATAAGACAATTAAGGATTGTGACAGTTCTGTGAAGGGATAAGCAAAAAGTGCTGGGATAGAAAATAATTGCCGGGGGTGGGGGTGGTCCATTTGGGTAGGTTTCCTGGAAGCCACTCTGAGAAAGGGTCATGTGTGCTGAGACCTGGAGATTGAGAGTGATCTGGGCAGAGGCAGGGAGCATGGGCAAAGCGAAGGACTTTGCATGTCAAGTGAGCTGGATGTGGGAGCCGCATGCAGTGTATCCAGATGGCCACACACTTTGGTGTAATCACTTGCTTCAAAAATCTGGATCCTGTTTGAAGTGAGTCTCTTCAATCCTGCTCTCCCTATTCCTACAGTAGCCTTCTAATGGGTTTCTTTGTTTCTGCTTTTGTCCCTCCTCCATAAATTTGCCACTCAGCAGCCAGCAGAAGTATGTAAGTGTGGATCATGTATGAGTTGCAATTCAGAGAAACTCTGTTTCAAACTTGGTTGAGCAGGAAAAAAAAAAAAAGAAAAAGAAAAAGAAAAAGGAAAAGCATTTAGTAGCTCACACAGGTGAAAAGTCCAGGTAGAGCTAGGTCCCAGGGCTCTACCGGTAGCTGCAGGACTCATTCTCAGCTCTGCTTTACTCGTATTCTGGGCTGGCTTCATTCTTAGGCAAGTTCTCCTCTTGTGGTGAGATGGTCACCAGTCGCTCACGCTTACATCTTTACCAGTGAGTGGTTCTGGCTGAAGTCTTGTTTATTGGTTGAGTTCCATGGTGGCCTGGTGGGAGCGGGGGTGGGTGAGTTGGTGGGGAAGATGGGGGGGGCGGTGGAAGCCAGGGAGTGATCATCCAAGCATGGATTATGTACCTAGTTCTGGTGCTGGGATGTGCCTCATGAGATGATAATAGTGGATGGGTGATTATCCAAAAGAAAATGGCATTCTGCTGTCAGGAAGAGATGGGATGCTGGGCAGGCAAAACCAAAACAATCTACTTCTACATTTACCTCTGCAGGAAGAGTCTTCTCTCTCACTCGTTATACTCCGGCCACACTGGCCTCCTTCCTCATCCTGGAACCCATGAACTCTTTACCGCCTCCAACACTTGGCACGTGCCCCCTCCCGCTACCCCGAACACTCCCAGAAAGACCCGCTCATTCTCATCCTTTAGGTCTTAGCTCAAATGGCCCTTTCTCAAAAGCTGCTCCGGCTGCCCGTCCAAGTGGACTCCCCACCTAGTTTCTACTCCATCATCTTGTTTCTCTCTTTTACACACTTATCACGGTCTATACTTACCTTGTTTATGTCTTGGTTCACCCCTTTGGTCTCTCTCTCTCTCACCAGCATGTCAGCTTGGGGAGGACAGGGACTGTCTGCCTTCTTTCCTGCTGTGTTTCTAGTTTCTCAAACACAGCCTGGGACATAACAGGTGCCCATGACATGTGTTGAGTAAAGAAACGAATGGGTGGATGTTCTTAGTTTTTCCAGACTTTCCTGGGTTGTGTTGGAGTCACTGGCTTAAAATGTGTAGATTTAGACCAAGGGTCCCAAACCCATAGACCACGATCAACGAGGATTCAAGCTTTGACTTCAAAAGTTTCAGTTCCTAGCTTTGCTTCTTTCTATCTTGGATAAACCAACAGATTTTCCTGGGCTTTAGTTTCTTCTATAACATCAGTACTAAGACCCTTACCTCGTGTTGGGGTGGGGAGTGAGAATCAAGAGCAATGTGGGATGTGGAGGGGTTTTGTAATTTGAAAAGCGTTATGCAAATGTCAGGCCTTGTTATTACCAATAGATCTCTGCGCTTTCTGGTGCAGGATTCCGAGCCACATTTACTTGGAACCCCTTCCTCTCTGTCTTCCTTGTGTGTCTGGTTTCTAGCTTCCATTTATATCCGTATTTATTAATCCATGTATTTGCTCAATAGAGTAACTGTATTGTCCCAGCCCCAGGGTTAGGGGCTGGGTTACGGTGCTGAAAAAGCCTTGCTTGAGGAGTCACAGGTGTGTGTGTGTGTGTGTGTGTGTGTATGTGGTGTGCGTGCACACTCATGTGCATATGTGGTATGTGTACTGGGAGAACAGGGACAAGAATGAAGGATGCCCCCCTCCCATTTTAGGTCTTCTCAGACATTGTCCTGCCTGTTTATTTAAAAAAAAAAAAAAGATGGGGACCTCTGGCTTTAAATGATAATTGTATGTGTGAAGAACTGGCAGGTCATCAACGGTAATATTTTTTTTCAATTAAAAAATGAAAATGATCTTCAAAGACACAGAATTAAAAACATCAGGAATGGAAATCACTAGGTTTCTAACTTGGTCCGGACACAATGGCCTCTTCCTCCTTATTTCTCCCCAGAGGCCCAGGCATTGGGCAATCATAGGCCAGCCCATTCAACTCTTCCTCATTTGGCCAGGATGCCTGCCGAAAGCCTTCTTCCAGGACGCCTCATGTGAACAAACTACACAGTCCTCAATTTCATCACGGCCTTGGGGGCTCAGAACCCTCCACGTGTGCTTTTGAGCTGGGCAGTCTTTATTCTTTTGGACACTTCTGTCTGTTCTCAAAGGGTCTGGGCCTCATAATGTGGTCCAAAACTCTAGAGGTTTTGTCACATGTCACCTTAGCTTTCTGGTGAAGACATAAAGAATATAGGTGCCTGGCTGAGACTGCCCCCGTCATTCTCATGGATAGCTTGGTAATTGCCTTTTGGGGAAGTGAGCGCTGCTTTGGGGCCTCTCTGAAATCTGCATACATAAGACACTGATGGGAAAAACAATACCTTCTCAAAGCAAGCTGAAGGGTGAAGAAGGAAGAATATTTTTATTTATCCTAGGCCTGTTCTTCTCAGCCCGCTCAATTCGCCCATGCACCCCTTGGCAGTTGCCACTGAAGGCATAGATGTTCTGGTTCATGAATACGTTCCAGAACATTCCTCACGTTGCCTCTGTTCTAGATTCGTTTGGTACCAGGCCTTTGGCTGTGGTTTCCACGTGTGATGGTTAATTTTATGTGTCAACTCAGCTGGGCTCAGGGATGCTCAGAGAGCTGGTAAGACATTTCTGGGTGTGTCTATGAGGGTGTCTCTGAAAGAGATTTGCATTTGAATTGCTGGACTGAATAAAGAAGATGACCCTCCCCAGTGTGGGTGGGCCCCATCCAATCCCTTGAGGCCCTGAACAGAACAAAAAGGTGAAGGGAGGGTGAAGGTCCTCTGTCTGCTTGGGCTGGGCCACCCATCTTCTCTTGCCCCGGGACTTCAGCACTCCTGGTTCTTGGGTGTTCAGACTCAGACCGAATTATACCGCTGGCTTTCTTGATTCTCCAGCGTGCAGATGGGAAATCATGGGACTTCTTGGCCTCCATAACTGTGTGAGACAATTTATATAATACATCTCCTTATATCATCTATCTATCATCTATTTATCTACCTACCTACCTCTTTATCATCTCTCTATCTCTCCATGTATACATCTTTGATCTTTCTCTTGCTCATAATTATCGATTTATTTAGGTTATCCCAGCTTGGTCCTTGGTCTTCCCTCAAGACTTGTGTTGGACTCTATCCCCTTGAACTCTGATAAGGCTCTCCAGATCCTGTTGTGCCCTCCAGGCCTCATTCCTTAGCCTAGGCCTGTTCAGTTGACTCATCCTGGACTTGGATACTTACCATGAGCCAAGCTCTGGCTAGGCACTTCGTAGTCTGTGTTATCTGGCTGGCTCACATTGGGGGCATCTTGCTCTTCTGAGAGTTTTCTTTGTCTGAAATTCCAGAGGGCTGGACCCCCACCTCTCACCCCCAACAGGTGTTCAGTATAACTGCTGCCTGTGCAGAGCAGTAAAACAATTCTTCAGTGCTATAAACTCAAGGGCTCACCTGCTGAAGGTCAGTGTGTTCAGAGATGTTTTTACAGCCCGTAAACATAGCAGCCACTTACAGTGGAGCACATTGGATCGTAAATTATTTCACCAAAAGCACTAGCCCCTTATTTACAGAGAAATGGGGAGGGGGGAGGGAAACTACACATCCATCCACTCTGCATGGTGAGAAAATGCAGTCCTGGCTTTACCCATGGACTTCCTATCATTCTCCTGATAAACTATTTGTCTTTTCCCTCCTAGCCTGTTATTTAACATTGGAGTTTTGTTCCATAGGCCCAGACTACATTTGCCCAATCAGTTTTTTTTCTCTGCTATGACTGCAGCCTTGGAGAGGTGCTTGTTTGGTCCAAGTTGGCTGTGTGAAGGCTAGTTCCTAGACCTGAGACTACATCAATGACAACTAGTGAACAGTGGAAATTATGGGTGTTTCAGGATTGATGGGGGTGGCTTACATGCCGTGTTCTGCTATGAAATGCCTCCTGGGAGCCCTGGTCAGTTCTACCATAGGCAAAGCCTGGGTGTTCCTGTCCCATGACTGTGTAGGATGTAAGGTCCCAACTCACCTGCCAGCAACTGTATTCTGCTGTTTGGCACCTGTGCTTTTCTCCATTTGTCCTTCAATCTGGGTCTAGGGTTCTGGAAACTTGCGTAGAGGACTGGAAAACCACAGATCAGGGAGGTGGGTGTCTGACAGCTCCTGGGGTGTGGGAAAGGCCTCTGGATAAGAAGTCAGCCAGACAGACATTTGAAACCTGGATCTGCTCTGGTCCAGGGGAGTTCACTTGGGTACTTTACATCATTCCAGCCCTTAGTTTCTTCATCTGCAAAATGGGTTCCACTGGGTTCACCTCATGGAGGAGGTGACATGAAGATTCCTGTGGAAGAGCCTGGCATGTCGTATGCAGAGAGCTGAGCTACACAGGCCATGCTCAGCCTCTCCGCAAGCTGCTGAGGGCACCTCCATAGTTCCTCCTCCTCTCCCCATCGAGAGAACTTAAGGGGCTGGAGCAGATTTCAGACACTGCCTCAGAGCCTGGGCTCAGTGTGAGCTGCCCTGGAACTCGGGAGGGCTCGCACAATGTGAATGGGCAGCTGGCCACTGCCCTATGGAGCTGTGCTGTGGTGGCTTAACAAGAGCCCATCACAAGCCTCCCTGCTGTGAGAGCTCTTCCTGGTTATGGGCTTGCTCATGGTTTGGGTTAAATTGAGTTGGGGGTTTTGGGAGAATCATTCTGGGCAAAAGATCTCTCTTCCTGTACAGGGCTGACTTCTAACTACCTCCAGACAGACACCAGGCAGAGAGGGATGGAAAACCACCAAACTATCAAGAAGACAGCTGCTGGCCCTACCGGCCCAATCAGCCTCAGAGTCCTGGTGGAAGGCGCCAGAGGCTTGTAAAATACCAGGATGTTTCTACAAGCAATGACAGTTAAGGGCTTTCCCTACTCCCTCACTTCCATCCAAGACTGGTGTGGATCTATGGATTTCTCACTTCCCCTTCTTCCTGAACAAATTAGCCAGACCCACTTGAGCTTTACCTAGTTGGATCCCCTGACACACATGGAGGAAGGGAGAAACTGTGACTTACCAGCTCCCACCATATCAGCTGTAATAGCTCCCTGAATCCTGACAGCAGCCCCCACCTCTAGGATGGAGTGGATAATCCCAGATGCAAAGGGAACTGAGGCTCATGGAGGTGAACTGACTTGTGTGAGGTCGTGCAGGTAGGAAGAGGCAGCTGGGGTTTGAACCCAGGGCTCGGGCCCCAGACCCCTGAACAACTTGGCCACTTCAGAGGCCAGAAGGGAACAAGACCGAAGCAGGGGGCTGTGAAGAAGGCAGAGTAGATGAGTGAGGAGGGTGGAGGCGGGGAAGAAAAGGGAAATACTTAAAGAAAAGCATGCACTTATTGCCTCACGGAGGCAAATGAAGTTTGCACATGCGATAGAAAATTTTGAAACTTGACTTTGAAGGCTTGCTGTTCAGAGCTCTGAGTTGTGAGGCCTGCATGGTGAGAATTTTCCCAGCACACCCCACCCACCCCACCCCCCAACCTCTAATTATAGATCTGGTTGTTGGATCGTGCTTTCCCACGCAACTTGATCAGATTTATTGAAACAGCAATTTTTCTTATCCAACCACCTCTTATTGGCAGTTTCACAAACTATATATGCCATCCAGCAACAGGGGGCAAGGGGGCTTAAGTGAAGGGGGATGTGCATTTGGCCACCCCCCGTTACTCAAATGAGGAAGCAAGTGTAGAGTTGATGACACTTGCCCAAGGTCAAATGGCTGACAATGGCGAAGCCAGACTTGAGCTCAGCTCTGCTCGATTTTGCGACCCGTTTTTCTATAGTCCTAGTCCTAGTCCATAGGCTGCTTTCTGTGAAAATGTGTTCACATGTGTTCTCCAATTCAGTTGTCACAATAACTAGAAATTCAGGTGTGTGTTCTTATAGATCTTATCTTGTAGAGGGGGAAGCCGACACTCAAGATTGAATGCCTTGACTGAGACTTCACGGTTATCTAATGCATGGCAGAACTTGCACTTGAATTTTCTAGACTCTAACTTCCTGTTCTTTTTATTTTACTATGTTTAAGGAGCAGAATCCCCCACCTTTCCATTTTCCCTCCCTCCCTCCCACTTCCTCTTCCTTCTCTCCCTCCCTCCCTCCCTCCCTCCCTCCCTCTTTCCCTCTTTCCCTCCCTCTTTTCTTTCCTTCCTACCTTCCTTTCATCCAGACATCATCTTTTCAGTACTTACTTTTACTAGGCCTTGTGCTGTAGTGATGAAAACCTTCAGGAGCCTGTGGTCTGATAAAAGCAATAATGAATTACATGATAAAATGCTGAGCTAAGTGTGACCATAGAACCAGGTGGATGGAAGGAGATTAATCTGCCCAGTTGGTTGGGGAAGGCACTGATATTTTGCTCGTGCAGGTTGAATACTTTGTTTTGAAGAGCATGTTTTGTGTGTATTTTTCAAAATCTCCTAATTGAATGAGGCACCTGCCTCTGCGGCATCCTTGTGGGCAGTGGTTGAGCAGGAAGTCATCCTCCATGCGAATTAGGTTAATTTGATGAAAATGAAATGAAAAGCTCTGTAATCTGGGGTGATGGGAAAGGTCGGGGAGCACAAAGCTGTACTTGCTGCAGAAGTTGCTAATTGCATTGTGACCTTGGGTTCTAGCTGGTTACATAAACCACCTCAGGTGAGAATTAGCCAGGGCTGGCCCAGCTGACAGGAGCTGGGTTGCCTCTTCTCATTAGGATCCTGAGCGCATTTCTGTAACTGCCCAGACATGTAGAGAAGGCTCCTTTTCTGGAGTTCATATGTCCTACGAGGACTCTGGGTGGACTTCCCTGAATCCCTGAAATTGGATGTAAAAATGAGTGTATATGTATATGTGCAATTCTCAGGGAGAAGGGCCATTACTTTGATCAGTTTCTCAAAGTGGTCCCCGAGCAACATGGTGGGAAGAACTAGTGATGTGGTTTCTGGTTCCTATTCAAGCAGAGTTTTGATTCAGTAGGTCTGGGTTGAGGCCCAGGACCCTGTGTTTTGGTTAGTTTATTTGGTTTTAGACTTCCAGGTGATTCTAATGCTCAGTCAATCTAGGGGAACCATTGAACTAGAACTCTACATCTCAAACTTCAATGAGCATGATGCTTCCGGGGACCTTGATAGCATGCAGATTCTGACCCAGTAGGGCTGGGATGGGGATGGAGACTCTGGTCCTGACCAGTCTGAGGTGATGCTGTTGCTGCTGGAGGATGGACCACACTTTGAGTAGAAAGGGTCTACAGGTACTTTTTTGCTTGGGTCAGTCATGGGACATTGGTTAGAGTCAAACCGCATCCAATTCCTCTGCTTGGGATTGAAGTGAATTACTCAAGCCACTTCCCTTTTAGAAGGATGCTAAGAGATTTCTTAGGGAGTGTTGAGTACTTCACAGCCAAATATTCCATTTCCAGTGGCAGTACAGACAGTGTAAAGAATAAGTTGGAGGTTCGATAGATTTAGGAATAAATCCTGGCCCCAATATTGATCATTCCTATGTATCACTAAGGATGATATCAGCTATAAACAACAGGATAATTGACTAACAGTAGCTTGAATCAATAGAGTTTATTTTTCATATGTAATGAAAAATCCTGTGGTAGTGTTGGGATCCTTGGGTCAGCTGCCAGTCATCAAGGACCCAGGATCATTTCGTTCCTTTGCTCAACATCTCTAGCATGTAGGTCTCATGGGGAAGAGAGCACGTCTCCCAGCATCTTGTCAGCATCTGAAGCAGGAAGAGGGGGACATTGGTTAGAATCATGTTGCCTAGCCATCCATAGCTGCAAGGAATATTAGAAAAGGACTATGAACATTTCCAACATCTCTTCCTGAGAGAGAAGAGCTTTAAGAAATGCTATTGGTTCAGCCCTCAATCATATCTGCCACATCAGGTGATTCTTGGCAATTGTCTGACTCTTTCTGAGCTTCAGTTTCCTCACTTGTCAAACAGGAGAGTGAATGTGATGAGCCGTTCCCATATCAGCAGCAACATCGTCACCTGGAAACTTGCGTCCCACCCCAGACGTACTGAATCAGGAACTCTGAGGGTGGAGGCCAGCAATATGTGTTTGAACAAGCCCTCCAAGGGATTCTGATGCACACTCCAGCTTGAGAACCACTACCTTAAGATTTCTGGGAAGAGTAAAAAAGGTTATTACTTAAAGCGTTTGACACAGAGAGTGTTCATAGCTTGTAGCCTGGGAGTTCCACATGTTAGACCAAAACAAGCTGATAGAATCCATTTCTTGGAATGCTGACTTGGAATAAGAAGTTTAGAAAACATCCAATAAAGAATGTCTAAGTTCTGAGTAGTGATGTCAGTCTTCTAAATCCTTCGGGTCCTTTTGAGAATCTGTTGATGAAGAGCGCTAAGGAGAGGCTACTGAGCTGAAGCAGGTTGGAAAAGTTCGCTATTCCTTTATTTTTCAAAAATTAGAGCTTTATTGAGCTCTAATTTTCAAATAATATTTGAATATAAATATTCAAATATTTATAATATTTGAATTATAATTCAAATACCATGAGATTCACCCTTCATAAGTACACAGGTCAGTGACTCTCAGTATGTTCACTAAACTTTGCAGCCATCACCACTATCAAATTTCAGAACATTTTTATCACCCCCCCCCAAAGGAACCACGCACCCATTAACAATCGCTCCCCATCCTCTCCTCCCCCCCAGCCTCTCTCGCAACCACTAATCTATTTTCTTTATCTACCTATCTATCTATTTACCTATTTATTTTTTGTTTTACTGATTTGTTTACTAGGAAAAATCCCAAGAGGAATGCCGACATCATTGAAGAAAATCATCACAATTCTAAGACCGAAGTTCCAACATGAATTCATCCTGTGACATGGCTGCCAATGAAAACCATATAACAACAATGATGATATTGTTTATTGTTGTTGACAAATTTGATTTTGTTGTTCTAATGTGCATCAGAACACTTGGATAAATTGTCGCATGTCTGTGGTCTTCAGTCTCATCTATAAAGTGGGGGAGCTGACCATCCTTGAATGATCTTGTAGGACCTCTGGTTCTGAGAGTCTAAATTGCTGTTTTGCACTAGTTAAGAGTCAACTGAAAATTCTGCCCACAGCTCTGTGTCCTGCACTGTAAGTGGGACCACTTGGTGGAAGGGCATTGAAATGGAAATAGATTACCAGGCTGGGGAGTGGCCTGAAGCCTTGACAGACAAAACTGGGGAGTTGGTTTGGAGGAAGGAAGGGGCTGCGGGTATAAGAGCCCTGCCTTGAAATCTTTATCCTGGGAAGAGGAGGCAGATGGATTCTACAGGGCTCAAGGGGCAGAAGCATGACTAATGAAAGAAGTTTCAGATCAACACAAGGGAAACCCTATAATAGTCAGAGATATAATTATTTTGTCAGGTAGTGAGTTCCCTGTCACTGGACATGTGCTTTTGGTTCAATCATCCAAAGGAGGTTGGACTAGTGGATCTTTCAGGTTTTTGCCAAAAATGTGATGTGAATTTCTGAAAGTCTGAGATCAAAGTGAAGTAAATGTGCATAAAAATCCTTACCTTTTGCCTGCTTCCGTAGACTACAGCCTATGGCAAATAATGCAGGTTTTAAGTATAACTTGCCTATCTCCTCTCTAACTGGAATCTTGCTTTGCATATTGGGGATTTCTCCAGGGATGTGTGAAGAAAACTATTTTCCTGTTGACATTCTTTTTCATCACTGAGGCAGCCAGCACTTGGATTCAGAAATGGTCCCTATCTCAGTGTAATGGGAGAGACGCATGCAAACAGAACACTGCAGTTCAGGGGACCAGGGCCTTCATGGTGGCCCCAAGGGGGTGGGGGCCCCTCAGCTGGGGGAGCCAAGGAGGTCTTTGAGCACAGAAGCTTGAGCTGAGCCCTGAAAGAAACAAGGAGTCCCCTTTGAAGGTGAGGGCTGAGCCATGTGGCTGGAGCTCCTGCTAGCAAATTCCCTACCAGTTCCCAGGAATCCAGGCCTGATAAGGAGGAGGATGAGGGCTCAATGTGTCAAACACCAAGTCTGGACAGCCCCTGTTTAAGCACTTGTCTGTTTTATCTCACTGAATTCTCACTTCAGCCTTCTGAGAAAGGTATTCTTATTATTTTCTCTAATGCCCACAGGTGGGAGCTGAGCCACCAACTGGCTTGTTACATAAGGACAAACAGTACTGGGCAGAAGGAGGGACCAGGGGACTTAGAAAGATCTCATCGAGGAGGTGACAGATGGACTGGCCTCGGGGGATGAGTAGATGTCAATCAGAGGTAGGGCGGACATTGGCAACAGAGGAAGGAGCATGTGACTACGTGGGGAGCCTGAGGGGTAGAAGATGCTTGGCCTTTCATGTGGCTGAGCACTGGCCCTGTGCAGGCGATGAGGAGTGGGCGGGAAATGCCCGCCGCCCGCAGTCCTTGAAGGACATGCGTGTCCTGTGCTAAGCAGCCTGGTTTTGCCCCCTAAGACAGGCATTGAGGACTTACTTAGGTGAGTTTAAGCATCTTTCTCCAGGAGGCTATTGGGAAACGGACTTTCCCATGACCTGTGCTATCCTCCTGTTCCCCCAGGGTCTGACTCTCTGCCTTGACCTTCTCTTAACAAGTGAGTGTTTGTGACTCTAGCAGGAATCAGGAGTCAGCGAGGAGGCCCATCTCACCTGATCTGTCCCCAAGAAACCTCGCAGGCAAGGCCTTTAAGATCTGGCGCCCTATTGCTATGAGGTTCGTCTCCTTCCTGCACGGCTGCCCGGTCCTCCCGCATGGAGATCTGACTCCGTCTCTGATTTCCCAATTGCACTCAATGCCGAGATGAGACTGTATAGAAGAGTGGCCTTCCTTCGGGGCACAACAAAAAGTGTGGTGGCTGAGGCTCCCAAAGCCGCTTCACAGCAAGCACCCCCCCCACCCCCAGCGCTCTCTGTCTAGCTCTTTTGCATTGGCACGCAGCTGGTGGAACGGAAAGAGTTAAGGCTTTGGCGCCAGAGGGACCCGAAGCTGGATGCTGGGGCAGCTCTGTCTAGCTGTGTGTCTTGGGATGAGAAACCAGGATGAAAGTACTGGTTTTGCAAGGTTAGAGATCATAGAAAGTATAGACGGCGGGAGCTGTTCAGACACGGGGTTTTTTATTCTGCATATTGCATTATTACTCTTAGTAGAGCCATCAACAGGGTATCTTGGAGAAGCACCCCCTTCCTGAGGCCCCAGAGAGTGAGCAGAGTTTATGATGGTCCTCCTGGCAGTTGGGTCCACCCAGTTTCTTCTGCAGAAAAATGTTTGGACTGAACTTCACCCTCTGCACAACGAGGAAACATGTTTTAAAGGCCTCACTTGTCAAAAAATAAAAAAGACTTGTAAAACAGACTTAATGAGACTTCTGGATAGAGCGGGAGCCGTAGGATTGGCTGCTCTGGGGAGGGAGGCTGGAACGCAGCCTTTAAAGCTCTCGCCAAGTGCTCAGGCCTGGCCTGGCCCATTCTGGTCGGGTCACGTGTTCCCTGCTCACGCCTCTTTTTACTTCCCTGATAAAATGCTTACCTGGGTATTGGTCCAAGATGACCGACTGTTAAATGCCTTGCAAATATAAAACTAGGCTGCAAAGTCGTACTCGAGACAAATCCAGAAGGTCTCTAGTTTGATGTTAAAGTCGGCTGCTTCTGAACAGAGGCAAAACAGCGGAATCCTCATAGGCCAACCCCTTCACTTTTTAAATGATGAGACTGAGGCCCAGAAAGGGGAAGGTATATTATATTACGCATCTTTTACAACAATAAAAAAATAAATACATAGGATAGGGCTTTATGCTGGATGAAATCTTCTAGACTCTTCTCCCCCGTCCCTGTCTCCCTCCTGCTTCTTCATTTTTCCAGAGAGAGAGAAAGAGAGAGAGAGAGAGAGAGAGAGAGAGAGAGAGAGAGAGAGAGAGAGAGAGAGAGAGAGAGCTCAGTTTACCCTCCTAGCACCAAATGATGGGTAACATACTGTTCCCATTTTACAGAAACATCAAACAATTACCCCCACATCACACAGGTTAGTTGGCTGTGTGGTGGCTGAGCCAGGATCTCAGGTGTGCCTGATGACAGAGCTTTCTCTTAATTACAACACCATGTTTAAGATGAGCACCCTGGAGTGGAGGACCTCTCTGCCTTAGGCAGCGGCTGATCTGGGACTCAAATCACTGCCGCCACATGGGAAACCTCAAGTCTGTTCCCTGTACTACTGACTCCTCTCTACCTGTGGTCAGCTTCTAAGAAGTCAAGTTCATTTAAAGCCCTGTTCATTGTTAGGAATATTTGGACCTCAAAGGGAGGGAGTTTGAGGGCACATATGGCTTCTTTGGGACTGAGAGGGTGAGGATGGATGTTTTCCTGTTCAGTTGGCAGCCCTAGGCTCAATTCCCGATTCCCTTCCTTATCTGTTTGCCTCTTGGCCCTTTTCCTGGTGCATAGAAAGTGCTCAATAAGTCGTTGCAGAGTGAATGAACGAACTGCATTCTGTGTGAAGGTGTTAGCTCCTCATTTGGACTTTGGCTCCCTATTCTCAGGGATGGGGACTTCTCCTTCCCTCTGCCCTGCAGGGCTGGGCATGGTGCCCTGGCTGGGGAAGGCATTCCATGGGTACCTACTGAACAAGTGCATACATGGGTTGCTTTTTAGGCTGCTGGTGCTGAATCACCCAGCTGGACTTGGTCTGTACACAAATTTGAGCCCTGCTTTTGGAAACGCTCTCATCTTTGTGCATTTTTGAACGTGTTCCTATATTTTGGGTCTTGCAGCTACCTGACCCCTGCAGCAGAGCCATCACCTGTGAATGAACTCAGTGCACTGAGGGCCTCCTCCGAGGCTATGACCATGACCTCGCTGAAGGAGAGCTGGGAACAAGGGAGGGTCTGGGGGCATGGGAGGCACTGCACTGCCAGGGAAGATGGCCCTCAGTCAGAAAGAAATGACACCCATGACCTGTGGCGTAGTGTTTGTCACACAAGAGCTCACTGGCCCTGAGAACATGGGGGCGCTCGACTCCCTGAATGTGCTTTGCTGATATGAATGTACATTGGTTAGTAAGATTCAGTTGGAGGGACTTGAAACATCACCATTCCTCCAAACCCTTAGGAAGTGCAACATTAGAAAGAAGGAGGTTTCTATTTTTATTTTTGTTTTTTTCAGAGTCCGGTTGAGGGTTGGCATATGACATCGTGTCAGGGGTTCAGGCTCCTATCTTATTGCCATTCTCAAGATCACCTCCTGGCACAAGATGCCACCTGGAACTCCAGCCATCATATCTGCATTCAGAAATCAGAAAGAAAGAAAGGCAGAGATAAGGACAAGCACACTTCCTAGAAATTGCAGACACCTTTTCTAATTATATCCCATTGATCAGAACTTAGTCATTTATCCAAATACAGCAGCAGGAGAAGCTGTCATTTATTATTCTGGGTGGTCATGTACTCAGCTAATAGCAAAGGGTTCTATCACTGAGGAGAAGGGGAGAGCTGACATGGGAGGGTAACTGAAGTCAGTACCACAGGTGTGAGTTTCCCTGTCCTCTCTTCCCCTTCCAAACCTCTGCGCCAGAGTGGGTAGCTATTATTGCCAATTTAGTTTTAAGGAACCAGAGACAGAAGAATGAATGGCTTGCCCAGGTCACAGAGTTGGATGTTAAAGGAGCTGGGATTTGAATCCAGACAGTCTGGAAAACCTGAGTTGTTTACTTGTCCTGATTTTTGATGGAGATGATGTTTTCCTATGAGCAAGAAGGGTGTCAATGCCCAAAGAACATAGGAAAATGGACATTCATTCGTGGCTCATTCAGCCATGATTGACTTGTGTACCCATTATAGGCCATTTGTCCTTCTCCAACTTGGCGTCTGTTAGCGTCCTGACACCTCTTCTCTTACTCATCTCTGGATGTCCTGCATTCCTGCAGGGGCCAGCACACAGGGGACCCCCCATACATTTTTGTTGAGTGAATACATTA